GTGTTGGTGCTAGAATCAGGGTTTCTGAAGCAAAGCTTACAGCTGCTGAATGTACAACAAGCTGCTTGCTCTGTGGTCTTCAGAAATAGAGTAAAAATATAGAGAGAGGCATATCTGTAATGTTTTTGCTTTCTTGTCTTTGTGTTTTAGAAGTGGATAACCTACAATGCTCAATCACATTCCTATGCCACTAGAATGTCCACTTGCTCCACTTCATAATTTGCCAAATTTGAACATACTTTTGCTTTTTAGAGAATTTTTCACATAAAAGCACCTGCTAAAAGTTCTCCTTATCCCCAAAGGGACATTATTTAGCAATGTGAGTGATGGGTTCCCAGCTTGGTATTGAGTGAAAAGGGCCAGCCCTGCTAAGTGCTGTACATCTTCCACTTTTGCTTAGACCAGGACATGCTGAAGGCAAGAGAATAATGTGTGTTTTTTTTCTTTTCTGTGTGTAAACAGAACCAAGTCATAATCCTTGCACAGCTGGAGTATTTTCCAGAAACCTTGCAGTTGTTAATGAGTGAGTCAGCTGAATACAGGCAGCATTTAAGAACGCAGTTTACTTACAGCAGGTAAGTAGAGTGCTTGTGGTACAAGTATTTTTTTATGTAAAGCAACACGGGGTTTTTAATTTTGCTTTCAACTGCACTTTACTATCAAGTTGCTCAGACTAGTAATGTGCTTGATCTTACAAGGAGTCCTAGATTCTGGCAGGAATATAAGTTATTAGCAAACACAGACTGGTTCTTTGGGTCCAGGTGCTGTACAGGAGAGTCATGCTTGCATGCTATGCACATCTGCTTGCCTGACTCAGGGCCACCTGCAGTCACTCTCAGCCTGGTTGTGTTACGCTCCTGGAGAAGTCAGAAAATCAATTCTCAAGCATTTCAACGGACCTTGAATATTCAGCCTATGAACTGATTGCTTTTGTTATTGAAAAGAGCCCTACCTGAGGGGAAATATACCCTCATAGGTAGTATGTTATTATAGTATTTCAGTAAAGAGAATCATAGAAATATTCAGGTTGGAAGGGGCCTCTGGATGTTACTTAGTTTAATATCCTGCTCAAAGCAGGGCAACTGTTTAATCCAAGTTGCTTGTCCACTCAGGTCTTGAAAACCTCTATGGAGGGAGATTCCACAGACTCTTGATCTGACTGTACTTGGGGTGAAATTTTTTGTCCTTCTACGAGTAAAAATCCTGGTTCTGTATTCTCAGTAACCTCCTTGCTGGTACTGGCAGGATGCACCTCCGCCCAACTGAAGCAGCCCAGGTATCTACAGCCCCTCTCCGATGGCAAGGGCTCTCGCCCATGACCATCTTGGTGCTCTCAGCTCAACATACTCCAGGTCATCAAGAATTTTCCATATCAGGATTGTTCTCCTGGAGACCCTCAAACTGGGCATCTTATTCCACATGCAGGCAAACAAGAGCCACGTGAAAGGAGATAATCACTTCCCAATCACCTCCTGGTAATCCATTGTCTGTGTTCCTCTTGATACAGTGCTGATAGCCTTCGTGGGTGCTGGGATGCATGCCTGACTCCTCTTTAACCACTGCCCACCAGGACTTCCCCATCCTTTCCAGCAAAGAGTGTCAGTAAAGCCCCTAGTCAGTCTTGTCCCAGAGGAATGGTCACTCCCAGATGGAAGACATGGCATTTGTCCTTGTTGAACATGAAGTTCCTGATGGCCCATTCCTGCACCTTCTCCAAGTTCCTCTCAACATCACCACTTTGGTGTCATCTACATATACTAAGACCTGTTTTTTTTTTTGTTTTGTGTTTTTGTTTTTGTTTTAATAAATATTATGAAGCTCTGCCTTACATATATAATATCAAGTGATAAAATATAATAGAATCAAGTTACTTTCTGAAGAATGTAAATGACTGAAAAATCAAATTAAAACCAGATTTACAGAATTTCTATTACAGAACTTTGTAATTCCCTGAGGTTTGCTGCCCTCCATAGGCTGTTTTTATTACAGAATCATAGAATGGTTTGGGTTGCAAGGGACCTTAATGATCATGACGTTCCAACCCCCTGCCATGGGCAGGGACACCTTCAACTAGACCAGGTTGCTCCAAGCTCTGTCTAACCTGGTCTTGAACACTGACAGGGATGGGGCAGCCACAGCTTCTCCAGACAGCCTGTTCCAATGCCTCACCATCCTCACAGTAAAGAACTTCTTCCTAATATCTAACCTAAATCTCTCCTCTTTCAGTTTAAAGCCATTCACCTTGTCCTATCTCTACATGTCCTTGTAAAAAGTCCCTCTCCAGCTTACTTGTAAGCTGCCTTTAGGTACTGTAAGGCTGCTCTAAGGACTCCCCAGAGTCCTTATAGTTCCAAAGATAGTATTTTCCCGTTGAAAGCAATAATAATATTCCAGGAAAGATCTACTATGGCATTTTGTATTAACAACACAGCATAAATCTTACACATAGTTATATTGTTGTGATACATCAGTATGAACAGGACATGAATGCAAAATTCTACATTGGAAGACAGGTCAGTGGAAAATAAACTAATTCAGTATGGTTTCAGTATAGAAATATGGGTTTATTTATCTATCTACAACATGTCCTTCTTCTGGGTGAGCAGCCCATATGTGGGCTTGCTACCAGAGAAGACAGTGTGTTTGGTTGTGGAATAATGATTACTAAAACCAGACTACGACAGGAAAAGATTTCAAAGAGAGCACAAAAATAATTGTGGGAAGAAACTGATATTTTAAAGGATCCAGGAACTACTTTATATACTATGACCTTTATTGTGAAAGTAAAATTGATCTTCAGGAAGGACGTATTTTTATTACTCCAGGCAAACAAAATCATAATACAATGCTAATTATTCATACTGTGGCAAGGAACATGAATATGATGAGGCTTCCATTTTCTGAATACAATGAGCAGGAAGTAGTCCCTGGTGTGGCCCCAGTGCTAATTATGCATCCCAGCTGGCAATTTGTCTCATGGAAGCCACATCCCAGCACAAAAGGAGTGTAAACTATAATGGAACCTGAATGTAACACTTGTATAAACTCTTTTTCTCAGCCAGAACAGAGCAATCTTCGGGAGCATAGCTGAGGTGGAGAGTGGAGGTACCTTAGTGGACACTGGTCCTGAGCTCTTCATACGACTTCACTCATTAGTGAGGGTTTGCCTTTGCAAGAAGACCAGTTGCATAAAGATCACCCAGACTTTGTTTATGTCTGCAAGCATGTTTGAACACAATATGAGCAGTTTGGATATTCTAGGGATAAGGTGCTTTTACATAGTTAAAGCATCCTTCTCATTAAATCATCGTGTTTTGCTGATTCCAATAGTTTATGTGGAACGCACTCCTCTGTCACAGCCTGTTAGCTTCTGCCACGTGTTGACTCCATCTGCAGAGCAACTTACAGAAGAAAGTTTGTGAATGTGATCAGCAAGTGGCATGTGTGAAATATGCAGAAGGGTTTGCATCGAGTGTGAAAAACTTAGCTCTGCAAATTGAAATGACTAAAATCACAGCTTGAAACACAAGTTTTGCTGGTGGCTCTGAGCAACCAACAGTTTGTTTTAGAAAATGGAATCACAGAACACCAGGTTGGAAAGGACCTCAAAGATCATCTTGTCCAACCTTTATTGGCAAAAACACAGTCTAGACACAATGTTCCAGCACCCTGTCCAGCTGAATAGCAAGTGTCCAATTTTGGTGAATCCACCACTTCCCTGGGGAGATTATTCCCGTACATGTGATTGTTCTCACTGTGGAAAATTTTATTCCTTATATAATTCATTATAAAGTACCAAATGAGTAACTGAAACCTTATGCTCATTTGGTAAAACACAGCATTGGTCACTAATGTTATGAGGTTAAAGATATTGAGCTTCTGTAGCTGAGAAGCAATGAACTGTGAAACCCTCTCTGTAGTGTTATTTACCTTTAGAGTCGAAGCTGGCCCCCACCAGGGCGGGCATAGCCATGCGAGTTCTGCCCAACAAGGAGCTTGCTGACACAATGCCGGGCCTGAAACGACTCCCATTCCGCGTTTGACAGGAAGAACGGATGTGGAGAATGGCAGGTTAGGCGAAACAAACCAAACCCTTAGTGAGAACATACACCGGGAGAGTGCGTACAGCGAGAGCGGACACTGGCGAGCAGCCCGCGGCAGGAGCAGCCGAGGGTGGCGGCTTCCGCCGGGCAGGATGAGCCCGAGCTGTGGCTGCAGAGAACCGCGGACCGCCGGCAGCCTCCATGCTCCTCACAGCACCAAGCTCGCTCAGACATCCCTGCGCCTGGGCCTGCACCTGGGCCTGGGCCTGCGCGACCCGCGACCGTTGACCCCCTCGCCCCGCCCCGCCGCAGCGCGCATGCGCGGGAGGGGCGGTGCTCGCGGCGGGGCCGTGCCGCGCGCTCGGAACCTGCGCTGGCGGTTGCCGGCAGCCGCCCGGACCGCAATCGGGGCTGGAGCGCGCCGCTCGCACGCAGGGGTCGGTGCCGTTCCGGTGTAGGCGGCGGGCGCTTCTGCCGGGAGGGGAGGGCGGGGAGCGCGGAGCGGAGCGGGGCCGGGCCGCGCCGCGGTCAGCAGGCAGGGATGGGCTCTCGGGTGTCCCCGGCTGCGCTCTCGGCAGACACCCCTTCGCCCAGCGCAGGCGGTGGCATGGTCCCCACCCTGCTCTGTCGCCGCGGGTGATGCCGCGCGGGGCAGGCGGGGGCGCTGGCAACGCTGGAGCGAGTCGATCCGGCCGGTGGCGGTTAGTGGCGGGGCGCGACCGGGGAGCCCGGGGAGGAGAAGCGGGAGGACATGGGCTGCCCTGCCCTGCCCTGCTGTGATTGGTCGCTGGCTGCCGGCTGGCCAGCTGATTGGACGGGAGCGGTGTCAGTCGCTCCGTTACCCTCCGCTCCCCCGGCAGCTGGCAACAGGCGCAGTTGAGGGCGGCCAGGCCGGACCGGGGCTCGCTGCCCCCCGCGCACCCCGCAGCACCCGGCCCCCCTCCGCGGCGCGGAGCTCGGCCCGAAGCCTTGCGCCACCGAGCGTGAGCTCGGTTCGCGGCTGGGAGCTGTAGGTCCGGCTGCTGGCCTTGGGGAGGGCCGAGGGGGGGCGGGCGGGCGGGCGGCTCCGTGGGGTTGGGGCGCTGTGGGTGTCCGGCGGGCTCTTTGATAACGACCGTTTGGTTTTGCATTTGTACGTGACTCCTTCCCCCTCCTCCCCTCTTCCCCAGGCTCTGGGGGTTCTCTGGGTCTGGGTTATTTATTTATTTATTTCGGTGAGATCATCTTGGTTGGAGGCTGCATGTGACAGAAATGCTAAACAGCCCTGGCGCGCGGGGAGCCTTCCTCGTCCAAACTGTAGTCATCTTGCTTGCAGTCAGGTGGTAGTTTTTCAGTTCGAGTACTTAATTGAATTGGGGGTAGTAATTCGTGGAACGAAGCCAAAGCATAAAAGCCGAAGGTGTGTATATATATACATCACATGGATAAAAATCAACGTAAATCTTCAAGAATGGGCCAGAGTAACTGTGAATTAAGAGCTAAAGGAGTTAGTTTTGGTTGAAAATTCTTGAAAAATGTAGATAAATTGGCATGTGACCCCTGTTGCTTTGCAAAAGAAGGGCAATCCTGAGTCATAACTGGATTTCAATTTCAGGTCTTTACATCTTGGTAGTTAATACCCATCAGCTTTTCAATACCCTCAAGTGCTTTATGTGCCAAAGTACTTCAATTTGATGCAGTTAATATCTTTCAGCTTTCACTACCCTGAAACATTCTAAGTGCCAAAATACTTAGTTTTGATGGCATTTGATAAATATGGATAGTAGTTGTCATCGTGCAGTTATGTTAAACAGATGGGAAAACTGAACACTTCACGCTTCTTACTGCTTCTGAGTGAGTCATTTAAAGAGTGTGACTAATCATCCTACTGTACAGTTGTCAACAAACGAGCAATTTTTTTCTACCACCCACAAGATCTGAAGAAGACATTTCCAGACTTTCTGTGGATGAGAAATGAAAACCAAAGAACCTCTCTTTTGAACAGGAGTTTAAATTGTGATTGAGGGGGAACTGCATGTGATGGACTCTTCATGTTAGGAATTTACATGTCACTTTTTTTTCTGTGCAGTGGCATAGTGACGTACCCAGCAAGTCTGTTAACTTACCATTGTCATTGTCAGGCAGACAGTAACACACGAGTTGTTTTAAGGCTTTCATCCAAGTAGCAACCTTATGTGAAACTAAATGAATTTTATCTGTTCTCTTTCTCCTCCCTGCTTTACCTGTGTCAAGTTGTAAGTCATTTAGAATAGAGGCACTTTAATCTTCAGTGCAGTGTGGGTTGGACATTTTCATGATAGTAGTCAAGTGACCAGAGTCATCAGGGTGATAATAGTGCTCTGTGTTTGGGGAGGGGGACACAACTGCATTTCTTTTGAGGAAAGCAGGGTAGTACGGCAAAGAGCTGGCTGAGAAATCTGTGTTTAGAAATGTGATCTGAGAAGTGACCTGATTTGAACGTAGTTCTTGTGGAAGTCAGGAATTACCTACAGCTTGCAAGGCTGAGCCATGAGGGCAACACTAAATTTCAAACCCCCACAAGTATTATAGGAACAGAAAACATCTTGAAGGTATGCAAATCTGCATACTCAGATTGGGTTTAGGTTAAGTGAATTAAAGAGCTGGGAGGGAAGTATTAAATCAAAATGCAGTATTGGACCTTGGAGGCAGATGAGTTGATTGGGAAGAGGTGTTTAGAACTGCAGTTACCTGGGGTGGGGAGAAATAGTGTACAGGGTGGAAAATGAGAAGACCAAGGATGCATCAGAATGGATCCCACAAAGAACGTGAGAGGTATATTAAATGTATGCCAGCTTCTGCTGTTGGCAAATATGTTTTGTGGTTCTTCGTATCTGTTGGCAGCATTGATAAAGGTTTGTTCTTTATTGAATGTATGTCTAATAGTTGGTTGATCTGTTTGTTGTCTCATGACCTTTCCTGTCAAGATTTAATTACTGATCAGGAGTGTGCTGAGAATGCTGTGCTGTGTTTTGCCATAATTCATACTTGAGGTGACTTTGATCTGTTTGTGAATTGCACCCCCCCCCCCCCCCCCCCCAAACGAAAGTACTTATCCAATAATTTCCTCTCCATACACAGGCGGAATGGTGCCATATGGTTGGCATTTTGGTTGGTTTGGGGTTTTTTTGGTTGGTTGTTATGTTCTTTTTTTCTGGCCTGGTCATCTCCTCTTTAAAGAAGTGACCTCTCTTTGTCAGGTTTCAACTCAGCAGGCGTTACAGATGGGTTTTGTTAAGCAGGAAACCCCATTGAAAGGGTGATGCTTTGCTTTTTCTTCTTTCACATTGAACATTGAATAACAGGTTTTGTTTAGGAAACAGAAAAGTTGGGGAGTGGTCTGAGAGCTGATAGGCCCAGAATTGAGTCCTAACCTCGGAGAGGTGCAAATGGCACAAAAATGAACAAAGATGATGCCTCTTTCTGACACTGGAAGGTTATTAATACCTTCTAATAGGGTTGTCCCAGTATTTGGAAAGTGAGGAAGAACTATGGGTGAAGTATAGCCCTTTCTCTTTTACACCAGTTTTCTGGAGATAGGTATCCCTTTGCTAGCTAATCCTTGGATTACAGAGTGCAATGAAAATAAACAAGTGACGTAAGAATGTTGAAAGAGTCAGTTCCCCCAAAAAAGGAGTCTGTAGGCTTCATGCTCTGTGAGGGGTAGTGCTGACAGAGATACTAATGTAGTCTTACCTGCGTATGAGTAAATGCCTAAATGTTCCAAGTGGAAGATGGCAATAGTTGTGGTCGTCAGAAGTCTGTGGTGGGTAATTACAGTCCAGTTATTTGAGAATGATGTTTTCAGTGACATTTTCGCTTTTAAAATACTCCACCCTTCTGTTGTATTTTACTTGGGAGAAGGAAAACAGATTTTATGTTATTCCTTTAAATTTCTAAAATATCCTTATTTAGCAAAAAAAAAAAGTAAAAAATCTGTCTTTTTTTTTATTTTAAAGTTGCTGTACCAACTGGTATGGGCTTTCAGTGAGCAAAGGGGACATCTCTCTATTTTTCAGCAAGCTAGAAGCAAAATAATGGTATAATAAACTACACTGTTGACTTGGCAAATAGCATGGAGCTTCACCCCAGTCATCTTTAGCTATTAATAAACTAATTTCATTGGAAATGCTGGGAACATTTTACTGTAAATTAGGTAAATACTTACTGTAATTACTTTGCTGTCTAACCTCCTGGTTTTGTTCAGGACAGCCTGGCATTATCATTATGGATCGCTCTCGGCACCGCGCAGGAAATGGCAATGAGCAGGCATCTTCACAGGAGCATCGTCATGGAGAAGATGAGAGGCAGCGGCAGCTGGAGCGCCTCAGTAGGGAGGAGGCCTATTACCAGTTCATTAATGAACTCAATGAGGAAGACTACAGGTTAATGAGAGACCGCAACCTGCTTGGCACTCCTGGTAAGGCATGGGTACCTTCAGTCGAAAACATGTAATGGGAAGTAACCCTACTGCTGTCAGGCACTGCATGTGGTTGTATGACTTCAGTAGCTTGCCTTCAGTGGCTTTGTAGAAAGGAAACCGCCCCTCCATTTCCATTCAAAATTAATGGCACTCAGTAAAAATGAACCGCTTAAACACATACTAAAGCTGGGATAAAAATATAACTCTTTCAAATGCAACATCTCTGTATAAAGGTAATAATCCAAACACAAATAATTAACATCTGGTACACTAAAGTGTATCTGCTGGTATGTGGCAATTTTGGAGGCCTCTGAGTTGTTACTGAAAGTTGGCATGCTCTTGATACACACTCAGCATCTTTTTTACTTCCACCCCAGTACCTGCTTCCTCTGTGTAACTGCGTTACAGTCTCACACTAGTGCTGTTTTCTTTTTGTTTTCATTAGTTTTACCTTGTTCCTGAAGATTTTTGTTCAAAGTAGAAATTACTGTTATTTCTGCACAGCTGCGTTAAGCCAATAATAATATCTTATCTAATAGCATTGTCAAAATGTAAACTATTTCAGGGGAAATAACAGCAGAAGAATTGCAGCAGCGCTTGGAGGGAGCTAAGGAGCGTCTGGCATCACAGAGTGATATGGATAACAGAGAAGATGAAGGTAGAACTGTTGGAGGTAAACATTCTTAATTCATATATATTAGATATACGTAGTATGTGATACCCAGCTACTGTTCTGTACAGGTATTTTGTAAAAATACTGATGGATTTCAGTAGCAGCTATTTTGAGTTTTATTTTCTCATTGTACCTCTCTGGATTATTCTAAAAAGTAAGAGAGATTTCCTAATGACATGAAAACAAACTTGAAACACTTAATGAAATCTGATTCATGTCCACCACAAATTATTTTCTCCTCTTTTCCTGTTTCCCCTTGCTAGTAAACTTAGTAGCAGAAAAATAATTTATTCTAATTCTTAAGAGGTTTTATCATGTATTAGAGAAGAAGTTAATTGGCAAACATTTAGTTTCTCCACTGTTTTGTTGTTGTTTCATTCCTGTTTGTTTTAATGGCTTGTGTTATGTGCACTGTCTGTCTTCACTTCCCCAGCCATGTTGGCTTAATCATTTGGCCAATTCTAGTCAGATTTAGGAGAGCAATAGGCAACTCTGAAGTAAAGATACCAAAGTCCTTGCAGGTTTCATGAAAGCAGGGACATGGCGGAAGACAGAGACCTTAATCTGATCCCATCAAGGGAAAACCTTCACTGTGATCATCACTGTTGACTTATTCTATACACACAGGTAGCACTAACCACAATTTTAGCTGTTCTTGAGCTTGTAGTTGGAAGAGATTTGGGAACAGATCTGTGGGTGTTGTAGGAAAAGACTGTATATGCACAAAAGGAGGAAATCTGTCAAGACCGTGCATCATTTATTCCGCTGCTTATAGAAAACAACTTTTTTTATAATATTTTCAGTAAGAAGACAAAATCTGTCATAATCTTCCTTGCTTTATTGAAATTAATTGACCAGAATGCCTTCAAATTGATAGTTTAAGCTAGAGACGGATATTGGACAAATACAACTAATTTTCTGTTGCCAGAAGAGGCCATTTGGGTGCATTCATTTCTCTGTGTTATCTGCTGGCAAGACAAAAGTTCTAGTTTGAACTGATGAGTTTTGCTGACATTTTTACATAGAGCATGTTTTCAGCAAAGTGATGCTAGCGTGGCAAGGTAGTTGTCCTGCTCCTGTATTGTTTCTGAAGTTGGGGCCCAGCAAGCATAGAGAATTTGGAGCGCATTGTAGTGTGCCGACCACACAGTTGTATGAATATTTGCCGTTCTTTGTTTTTCTCAGATTCTGATGTTCTTGGAGAAAACTCAAATGGTGACTCTCTGCTTGAATGGCTGAACACATTTCGTCGCACAGGCAATGCCACTCGCAGTGGTCAGAGTGGGAACCAGACCTGGAGAGCTGTGAGTCGAACAAATCCAAACAGTGGGGAGTTTCGATTTAGTCTTGAAATCAACATAAATCATGATCATAACAGTTTTGAAACTGCTGGTGAGGCCTATATGGGTATAGATACTAGCAGAATGTATTTGGAAAGAAGATATCAAAGACCTGTCAGCCCAATACCCACACGAACAAGGAGCAGGACCACAAGAGAGGCAAACAGTGAGGCTTCAAGCACTTCAAGGACCAGGTCTGTAAGAAGCTCTGTGGCACAAAGCTCTGAAGCAGTCTCTGATCCAGTCTCAGGGAGGCTCAGGAGTAGAACAAGAGAGTTGGCAGGCCTTTCCCAATCAAATACTACACCTAGTAATTCTGCAGCTGCTGGTGAACGAAGAGAAACACCAGGAAGAGGTACATCTGCAGGAGTCACAAGGGGTAGAGCTAGAACTAATGTTCGGATGAGTGCAAACCAAAGACTAGAAATTCTGCGGCTGAGGTCTACTTTAAGTAGTCGAAGCCGCTCTCCATTGCAAAGGCAAAGTGATACTGCTCGTTCTGAGGAACATGGGCAGAGGCAGGATAGAAATGCACACCAAGCCAGCAGAAGCAGAAGACAAACAGCTCAGTCTTCTTCACAGCCTGCCGAAGAACCAGCAAGAGGTAATAGTCAGACTCCTCAGCTTTCCAGCGTAGCCCCATCCTTGGGAATAACTTTGGAAGAGGAGGAATCTAGTAGGCCAGTAGCTGCTGTTAGAAGGCATCCAACAATTACATTAGATCTTCAGGTGAGAAGAATTCGTCCTGGAGAAAACCGAGATCGGGACAGTATTGCCAGTAGAACTCGTTCTAGAGTAGGAATGGCAGAAAACACAGTTACCTTTGAAAGTGACAGCGGGGGATTTCGGCGCACGATCTCACGATCAGAACGTGCGGGTATTCGCACCTATGTTAGCACTATACGGATACCTCTCCGACGGATCTCGGAAACGGGGCTCGGTGAGCCTTCCTCAGTGGCTCTGCGATCAATCCTTAGACAAATTATGACAGGCTTTGGAGAACTGAGTTCATTAATGGAAACAGAATCTAACTCAGAAGTGCAAAGAGGTGGTCATCACTTACCGGATGTACATTCAGAGCAGAGCAACTCAAGTTCAGCAAACAATAGCAGTGATTCAAGTGAGGTTTCACCTAGAAATGGGCGCACAGTAGAAGGCAGCAGGGGAGCAAATGGACAGAGTGATGATACTCAACGCTATGGTCACAATAATGAAACCCAAGATAACAGGCAGTCCCAGGATGCAAACAACCTGGTGGAAAATGGAACGCTGCCCATACTCCGGCTTGCCCACTTCTTCTTGCTGAACGAAGAAGATGATGATGATCGTTTAAGAGGTTTAACCAAAGAGCAGATTGACAATCTTTCCACACGAAACTATGGGGATATTCACACTGAAAATGAAATAAGTAAAACATGTAGTGTTTGCATTAATGAGTATGTAACAGGGAATAAGCTAAGGCAGTTACCTTGTATGCATGAGTTTCATATTCATTGTATTGATCGCTGGCTTTCTGAAAACTCCACTTGCCCAATCTGTCGGCAGCCTGTGTTGGGGTCTAGTGCCACAGACAATGGTTAGAATGACTTGTACTGCTCAGTACTCAAGGATTTGCTTCTGCTCTATTTGTGATGAGCCAGGTGGAATGAGTTGACTTACATAGGGGTCCATTTGTGTGGGGAGTTTTGTTAAGTTTCTTTAAAAAGAATAGGAAACTTGTCTAAATCTAGCAATGTAAATACTATTTTTCTCCAAATGCAGATCTAGGAGTACACATAGAACCAAATGATACTGGTAAAGTTTATATTTTTTTAGGTAATTTTGTTATGCTAAGCACTTTTGTAAATACAGAAATGCAATAGTTAATCAGTCCTGCTTAATGTATGTTTTTTTAACAGCGTAAGGGACTCACTTTATTTAGATTACAAATTGTTTCACACAGACCCACCACTGTGTTGAAAAATTAGTGTCTAAATAGCCATTCATTAGCTTTTTGTTCTAAGAACAATTTCTTTTACAGAGAGTTTCTTGCTGGACATGTTTGCTAAAGATATTTAAGTTACTTGAAGTGCTCATTTGAATAGACTATATTTTTTTTAACGTTGAAATATCCTTTCCAAAACCTTGCCAATTTGGTTCTAATTTAAAAAAAAATAATATGGCAATTTTTGCATGTGGTTTTACACAATGCTTAATGTTGATGAGTTCATATGCAAAAGCGGATGGGTTAGTGACATTATGAAATGTACATAGGTAAATGCTGTCTTTGACAATCTCTGTCTTTTCAATGCAGACAGCAGTCAAAGCAACGATAATTCAAGGTGTGTCTTACTGAACATGATACTTGCTCAAAGAATAAATGAGCACCGAGGAAGCCTTTTTACTCTTCCAAATGACTCAATTGATATTAATGGGGTTTTAACTGCCTTAGTTTAAGGAAGGAAATATTTCCTCGACCATGATATTGTCCACAATATGCATGATTTGTACATCCTACTCAGAAAAACAAAACAAAGGCTTGAAGTGGTTTTGTACAGGAATTTAAGGTACACATATAATAGTTGTCCTCTTAAAACATGTCAGAGGACCAAATGGCAAAAGACACTAAAAAAGACAATAAGCTTCCCTTAAAGTCCCCAGTTTACTGTGTAATTAGATATTAATCTTTATACCAATAACTTATAAAGAAATAAAGTTGCGAAGTAAATAATTGAGGCTTTGTGTGAATTACTGTTGAGCCTTATGCTCTAAATGGGTAAGAGAATTTTATCATTCTTGATGTTTGGCCTCAGTTTTTATTCTTTCTTCTTTTTTCCCCAGTTGTGTATGTGTGCTTCCACGTTGTGTGTTTTCTGTTATGGTAGGTAAAAACGCAAGGCAAAGCGCTCTTGGGGCTTCTGAAAGTAATCTGGGTGTTCCAAAGCTCCTCTTCTGAGCAGTGTGCCTTGGAGAAAGGCAGAACTATACAGTGTGTATATTGCAAGCAGCAGAAAGAATACCTGAAGTGGAAAAGTCCTACTGGCTTTCCCTGCCTATAGGTGGCCTGTGCTTGTGTTAAAACGTCTGCTTGTGGCACCCTTGAAGGCAAATAATAAAATCCTGTGTGAAGCTATTGGATGTCTGCAAGTTGAGGAACTTGTGTTAGAAGTTCCACAGAAGTGCTTCTTTTTATTCCTAAAGGTAGTTCTAAGAAATTCTCTTGCAAGATGTAGATGAGTTTAAGGGTATGATTAAGATCTCTTCTGATGTGATTTGGACTGCTAATTATTGCAGAAATCATTGACACCTTTCTTGAGTGCCTCCTTAGGTGTATTAGAGTGGTGAGATTAAAATGTGGTTATCAGACCTGGCTTGGGTTTTTTACATTATATTTTCTGTTACTTCTGTTAGCCTCTGATGTTAACGTTATCTAAATACATGGGTGCCTTCTGCTACTTCCTTTCTCCTGATGGTTTTCCTTTGTATTTGAAAGCTTTCTCATTCAGTGGCACACTTCGAGAAACTGGCTTTTGGCTCACTGCTGCCTTGCAGCATTGTTCTGTCAAGGTCAATTTTAACTTAAATCCTTACTATAGGGGATTTTTATTTGTACTGCATCTTTTAACTAACTACTTGGAATCCTGCTCAGCTGCCAGTCTAATGCAAGGGAGATGAAGGGCGATTGATTCCCCATGCCTTCTATTCACATGGGATTTTGCTGTGTAACCAACTGTAAGAGCACAATTTCACATGGTTCAAGACAAGATCCTGTGTGACAGGGTACTTGTAACTTACCTGCTGAGGGGGAATATCCAAAAGGACAGTGAGAGAATTCCATAGAAATCATAGGCCATTGGATAAGGAACATCAAGTCTTCAAGGCTACATTCCTGTCCTGCTGTGTGGGAATTGACAAGTATTTGCCCTCCATTGGAGGGACGTGTGATTTGTTCCTCAGCTTTCCCCAGAAATTGTGTTAACAGGACCAATTAAATCGCAGTGGTTCCATTTGGTATTTGCTTCTGTTACCTGTATTCCTGGGACATTTTGTAAACAAATGTATTAAAAGTACAGATGACCAAAAACCAGATAATTGGATACAAAAGTCTTTGAATCCCATTTGTTACTTAGAATGAAGTTCAACATTTCCTATACTATCCAAAATGGGGTTCTGAAAATTCCAGTTATTAGAGTTTGGAGATCTCAGTATTTGCGGCTGGGCCTTGGTCAGTCTGTTCCCACAAAAAGAGTAGCAAATCCTAGTGTTCAGATTGCGGATTGACACAAGTTTGTTCTGTCCTTCTTCTCTCCCCCGCCTTGTAAATCTTCACAGTTACCTTTTACTAAGATGCAGATGACCCAATAATTCACTGTGTTCTTTCCTCTTCTTGACACTGCAGCATAATCTACATCTTCTCACGGGCATTTTCGTTTAACTCGGTTGACTTTCAGCTCCCGGTTAGGAGCTTTCCCACAGTGAAGTTCTTGGCTTGTTCTAACAGCTCCCACTAAGCACATTTTTCTCCCTTCTCGAAGTAACACTTCAGCTCCTGTGGAACTGTACCTGTTGCCCTTGCTGAGCTCAACTTCATCAACATGTTCACCTGCTCCTGACTGTGGCTTGGCAAGGGGAGCTGGTGCTTACCAGCCAGGTTTCTGTGTCACAGGAACGCATCTTGGTCTCAACACCGTACTCTCTACAAGAAACCTCACAGATAAACTTGGGCTCTCCTGTATTTGTTGTGTTGATTTGGAAGCTGAAACGTATACGTGTTGGCAGGTTCACACACTTCTCTTGCATCAGATGTTCCAGCATCAGATGTTGCATGAGAGATTCACCTGCTGGACTCATTCTGCACTTCTCAGGCTTGTGTTTTAAAATGCGTGGGATGATTTGGTCGTCTGTGACATTCCTGCCTGTCAGTTAAGGTGAAAGTTAGGTCTCACTGCTTTAAAAATGTATACTGGCAAGTTTGTGTTACCATGCATTTGTGGTGCTGAGTTCTGGCTGTTCCCAGGCATGCAGAGAAGGTCGCCATGGCATCAAACTCTCCACCCTGTTCATGTGATTGTAAGGCAAGAAGATAATGAGAAACCGGGGGCAATGAGGAAGCGGTGACACAGTGGAGCTTATAAGGCAGCTGGAAGCAGGTCACAGGAAGTATTGGGTAGGGGCGTAAAGGGATTATCTTCAGCAGCCTTGAGGCCCAAGCTGAGGTGTAGAACCAGTGGGAGTGTGAGATGAGGGCAGGCTGACACTGCAGAAGTGCGTTGAGATGCTCTTGGGAGACTCCTGGAGGCTTCTGCTGAAATAAAGAGCAACTAGATATGCATGTCCCCTCATGTACTATTGCATGGGTCCTAAGAGCATAGGCAGAGAGGTGAATGGAAGGGTCAGAGAAGCTAGCACCAGGTATTGAGCCGAGTTGGCCAGCTAGCTGGTCCAGCTCTTGGGCCTTATCCATCTCTTGCCAATGCAACATTAGTGCCTGGTTGCAGTTCAGACTTGGGAGATACTGAACACCTGAACATCTGGTTGAATGCCCTCTAATTGCAGCCGAGTAAATGGCCAGATGGGGCAATTCACAGTCCTCCCTGATCTGGAAGAGCCAGAACCTGCCCTGGCTGCAAGAAGCTTTTGGGATTTATCGTCTGTTCAGCTCGAGCCTCTAGTACCCAGAGTTCACACAACAGAAGGCACAGTACAGATGGATGTTTTTATGGTGGCTTTCCCCAGCAAGCACAGGTTACAGTAGGATCACAGCAGCAGTGTGGGCTGTAGCCAGGCCCCAGCAGGTCCTTACAGACTCACTGATGGGCAGGTGATGTCTGTGACGCTCACCATGGTGCCATGTGTTCACTGAACCCGGTGTCAGCGTGATTACAACAGGAGAAGGTGGATACATCTTGGCATGTGATAGTATTTGATTTGTTGAGCAGACAGCTTGGGTGCTACCAGTCCAAAATGAAACAGCACTTGCTGGCAGGAGCAGTGGGAGCTATGGCAGTGCAGGGGTGGAAGAACAGTTTCATCAGCTGCACAGACAGGTGCCTCTGTAGCCAAAGGGACAATGATCCCTTCTGAGGAAGCAAACTTGTCAGGTTGCAGCCTTGCGTGGAGCAAGTCTGCCTTGTTGAGTCATCTCATTGTAAAGGTTAAAATATATGGAAGATCTTACAAGAGACTACATGAAAGAAGTAATGTTTGATATTTATGGGGTATAAGAGACATGAAGCCTTACAGTTAATGGCAGTCAAGAGAATAGAGTGCTCTTAGGTTGGGGTAATGAACCTCTTCTACGTCAGACCACTGGTGCATAGCATAAGGGAAAAGACATCTGAGTGTGCAGAAACAAGATGTCACTGCAGTTGTGAAGTTGAGTACAAAGCTGGGAAACGTGAGAGTGAAGGTTGCCTGTGGCACCTGAGGTTGGCATCCTAGAGCCTCCATGCCACTGTTATCTCTCCCTGCAGACGTGGCCTCTCTCGGAGCACCAAGTGGTCAAGTTCACTTACTGAGCTGATAGCAAATATTTTCTTGTATTTTATTATGCCTTGGACTCACTCCATACTTCAAAATTCCTATCTTATTAAAAGAATCCTATTCCCAACCTATTAAAGGAAGTATCTACTTAGTGAGTTACTTCACTTTGGTTATTGTTCATGGCAGTTTTCTCCATACTTTTATGAGAGAAGTATCTATTTTGCGCTTAGAAATTTTACTTCTCATCTATCTTACTTTCTTTTTCTTCCTTTATTTGTTTTTAATAATCTATTTCTCCATCTGACTGTGTCCTATTTACGTGTTTAATAGGATATAGCTTACATAAACATAATTGTATGGCATGGAAGAAAACTAAAAAGACATGTTTAAGATGAACAGTGTAATATCCTCAACCTAGAGGAAATATCTTCTAAGTCACCTTTGGTTGATCACCAGTAGACATTCTCTATTGGTCATCGCCAGGGTGCACAGCTGCTGGTGCTGGCACCAGGCTGGCTGTATCTCTGGAAGAAGGGACATGTTAAAGGACTTTTATTGGCAACATTATGAAAATTAATTTATTTCTAGGGAAATAAATGAAAAATGTGGTCAGAAGTTTTAAAAACAGCAATTTATTTCAACTGAAATATTAAATTCAGCCTGCAGCACTAACCCAGAGCCTTTAATGTGGAAAATGACCCAGAGTGCTGGATTGGACAGGGGCCCTGAAAAGATACAGAGAATGATCAGACTGAATTAATAGGATTTTCCATTTCTTGTATGTGTGATGACTTCCTAGCTGGTATTAGAGCTTGTATGCCACTCTAATTGTCTTTCTTTAATAATATATGATGTTGAAATGGATTCCTGTGTTACCAACTAACTGCAAACTAGGCAGAAGTGTTTTAATTTCACCCCATTCCTCAGACTCTAATTTCCTTTTCCTTTCATATTCATTAGGTCTTTTTGTACAACTGCAACTGTTTCCAGGGTTTTTTTTTATTCTTTCATCTTAGGAACAGACTGTTTCCTCTGGTACTACAGAAAAGTTTGTGTCAATCATGTACGTGTCTAGAAATGGGGAGAGATTTGGGATAATGGGAGCATCACTCATAGTTTTCATCATCTCCCTGTCAGGATTTATTGAACACAGTGTCCCAAATAGCTCCAAAACTAATACAAGGACATCACACTGGTTTTGTGTTTCAACAGGTCTGTGACATATTTCATAGAATCACAGACTGGTTT